AAATAAATTAATCTAACTACGGTAGGATTGAAAATCTTGGCTAGGGGATCACAACCTCTCAAGTTAGTTGGGTTGCAAGATTACAAGAACAACAATTCAAAATAATAGATAATTTAAACTAAGAATTAAATCATTTATGCTAATATGCAATCGAACAACAAAATTATAATAAAAAAGTAAAAAAATAAATGATAAAAACACTAAGAAATGTATACTCTCATATGAACGAAATCCAATAGTTATAAACTTAAAAGCTTAATCAATGCTTAAGAAAACACAATAATATAATCTTTACAATATTTTTAGTTGAAAATAACGGACATCGAAGAAAATAATGAATATTCACAAATTAGCCTCCAATCATGATAAATCTTAAAAGAACAAGGGATGACGATCATTACAAGCATAAACGAGAGAACCGGGAATCGGTTACTAGTCTATAGATTACTCGCCTACTTGATTACAACTTACAAATTACTATTTACAAACTATATGATATAAATTACTACTTAACAAGTTTCAAGTGCTAAAACTTGTGAAAGTGCTCATTAGGTTGTTTGTAATTTGAAGAGTTTTACTTATTTGTTGTATCATTATGTTTTTTTTTTTTTTTTGCTTCTATTACAATTACTATTTATAATGTACTTGGTCCATTATGATCTCTTATAGTGGGCCAATCTTTTATGCACTTTATATTGTTTTATGTTCTTCTTTTCTCACATTACAACGTACTATGTTCTTTGTTCTATTATGTTATTACCGTGTTGCAATCTCTTGCGTTCTTTTTAACTCGTTTGAATCGTGCTTTTATTGTTACCAAAATTCTGTTATTCTTTAACTACGTTTACTTTAAATACTTTTTGATCTTCTCCCCTTTAAAATAGAAGTTTTTTTTTCATGTTTTTCTCAATCGGTTTACCTTGTCCGCTCGTTACTAACTTACTAAAAGTGTTTTAATGGTCTCACCTAATTTTTTTTATCGGTTTAAATACGCCTATTAGGTTTGGTAGGCTAGGAATGACTCTTTGTAAATAGAGAACATCTAGTAGGCTTTAAGTAAATACAATAAAAAAAAAAAGAGTTTAAGTAAAATTCATTGAAGAACTTAGTAAGTTTTATTCATCGTTTTTATTTAGTTTATTAGGACAAGGCCTATAATAAATTTGGATATAACATTTATTTTTTTTTTTCAATATGTAAAATTTTTATCACATGTGGGAAGAAATGATTTTTTTGGCACTTGTTCGTTTTCTCAATTCCTAAAAAATATGATGGACACTTGGAGTCTTTTTTTGCATTCAACCTTTTATTTTCCATCTAGTTAAATCATAATGTGGAACCAATCAATTTGCAATCTTTAAATTGTCCACCTCTCTTTCTCTCTCTCTCTCTTTGTTTTTTTTTTTTTTTTTGTTTTTTACGAGTTGTTTCCTTTTGTTTTTCTTAATCTATAGGGTTTTTAGTTTCGTTTACCTCACTCTTTAATCTTAGTCTACCACTCTCTTACAATATGAATGACTTCAAACAAGTCCATCTTTTCCTCTTCTTTTGAGATTAAGACAAAAAAGCATTATTTTCCTATATAAAAAACAAGAGTCTCGCTTTCTAAAAAGGGATGAGGTGGTTCTCGGAATGTAAAGGCTAATGTTATCGATTTTGTAAGTTTAAAGGTATAAGGGAAAAGAAAAATGACTAAAAGGACTATATCATGTCCTAATGAAAAAAAAAGCGAGCTTATGTGCTCTCTCTCTTTCTCTAGGGAGTGCAAATATATCCTTTGAGCTTCTTTTAGTAGAAATACTATTAGACAAGCGAGCCACTAGTTTGGAGCATAAGTTTTCAAAATTTAGGATCGACTCGAGGTCTAAATTATTCTACTACTTCTTCATGACCCCTCGAAAGGTGGTAGAAAGCATTTTGTATAAAGTATTTGAGCTTTTTATAACTAGTTCGAGGTTTTTCTAAACATTTTATATGTGTTTTTAGGGATCTATAATACCATATTACATATCCGGATCTATATTTTAAGCACAAAAATCCCTTAGGAGTTTAGCATTTAAGATGTGATTAGCAAGTAGAAAGGCTCGAATCTTATGGATATAGTGGCTTGATTCTGGAAGAGGGGAGACTATATATCTTTTAACTACCACTTATATTTAGGTTTAGGCTCATCGAGGAAGTTTGAAAGGCGAGAGGAACTACCCATATGCTCGGTTCACATGTCAATTTATGATAATGATATGGTCGTCGCTAGTATTGTGGTTATACTAGGTTTTATTATCCCTCTTTCTCTTCTTTTGAGAGCCTTGGGTAGTTAGTTCTTTAACATGACTATAAAAGTGACTTTTTGAGGCTTTAAGGAATGAAGAAGTTCCCTTCTTTTGCCTCCCTTTCACTATGTTTGATTGTCTAGTCTATTTTTACAAGCATGTGGTAGAACTTGTAGTGGGATGGTGGCCTTTGATGGTGGTGAACGTGGAGGTTCTTGTTGCATCCGAGGCATTGGTAATGTGGTGATTAAGGATTTGAGTTACTCTTGAGTCAATATGTACACATCTATTAGTAACTCTGATTTATCATTATAGTTGGGGAATGTTGATTGATGATGCATTAGGACCGATAAAGTTGAAGCGTATAGAATTCGTTGGATTTTTCGATTGTTAGCCATTCGAAGCTTAGAGATGGAGAAATAGAGTAGTTTGTGATTGTTTTTTTTTTTTTTTTGCTCAAAATTCTTATAGATGACACCACTAATGAGGTTGTGATCTTTAGATTAATATTGATGATTGGGTGACTTCTAATTGAAATCGATCGAGTGATTAATATAACGAGTTGTACGTTGAATTAATACAGAGTGCTTGCAAAACAAGCATTTTCTCGATGTTTGGATGATCTTTTGATGGCTAAATTATCATATAGAGAAAAATATTTGGCATGAATTGTAATAACCCATCCTAAAAATAAGATTAAGTTAGTAATTTATATATTTTTGGGATTAAGGAGAATATTTATAAGATTATGTGCTTGAATATGTATTTTACTTAAGATTTCATTTATGTTTATAAATTTAATTACTAATTTAATCTAGATTATTGATTATGATTTTATTTATATAGTTTAAGTAAATATTTGATTTATAATTTTGAATATGAGTATGCATTTGAGCTTAGACTTTGATTATGAGATTTTATATTAAATTGCGTTACCAAATTTGATTTTGAGCATAAATTATATTTAGATATGTTGGATTTAGATATTTTTGGATTATATATAGGTTTTTTTGATTTTCAATTTGTTTGACTATCTTGGGTTACCTAGTGACAAAGGACGTAGCTTATAAGCTCACCGATACGTAATGCTTCGACTAGCAAGAGATGTGTAGTGCTAGCTTATGTGTCGACAAGCATACAAAAATCTAGTTACGGAGGGCATAGCCTTTAGATTTTCGCATCCAATGATATGTTATGTTTCGTTTCACCCTATGTGTAAATTTAGATACTTTATTTGATTTGATTATTCTATGTATAAATTTTGATGCTTGATATGATTTGAATTGATTATAAGTAATTCAATGTGTGATTTTGATTATAAATATTTCTATATAAGATTTTGATTTGAATTTGAATTATTTGAAGACATGATATATGATTTGATATTTAAAGTATCCACTTGACTTTGAAAAGGAAGCATTGCATCTTGAATAGATTTTAAATTACTCGTCCATTGGTTTATTTTTCTTTCTTAGATACGTTATATAATATTTACCAACTCGAGCTATTGTTTTGTTGACATCACTTATTTCGGTTTTGCGAGATTGTGGGATTTTTCGTTGACTCCTCAAAACCGTTATCCCGAAGTCGACACATTGATCGTGCAACTTATTTATTTGTAATGTTTTAAACTTTTATTTGATATCGTTGTACACTCTAGAATAGTTATATTTGTGAGAGTTGTGTTAGGTTAATAATTATTATGTTGGATATGTTTAAGTATTGTAAACTCGGATATGGCATTGTAAATTTGAATATGATATTATAAATTACATTAGAGTTGTATTATAATATTGATTAAGAATTTTATTTTGAGAAATGATATTTGATTTACTACATGTTTAATAATTAAGATTAAGATGTTCGAAACTTACTTGAATCGAGATGGATCTTACGACTCCCTCGATTCTTGCTGTAGCCACTTTGGAGGTTGTGACATGAATAGGTTTAATTGTAGAAAAAAGACATGGAGTGTTTATACTTATTTTTGAGTTTAGAAAGCAAAAGTCGTGACACTTGGTGTATTGACCTTTATATAGATAGTGATGTGAAAATGAATAAAGAGTGAGTAATATATGACAAAGCATGATGTAATATGTTGTTTTAGATATACACTTTTGATTTTACTCTTTCTTACGTGCCCAAATATATTGCATACCAAAAAAGAAACCTCAAAATATAATTTTTTAAAAATAAACCTTAATTTTCGTTCTGCTATACGGACCATAGCTGAAGCTGGATTATCATATATTTTATTATTTACAGGCTTTGAGGTAGAATCCGATCCACATGAAAGAAAGAAAGGCAGCCTAGGAGTTTTTAATGTTTCATGATCAATGGATTGGAAATTAAACAGCAAATCCCATGTAGCAAGGAACCAAGCACGACCCGTGGGTACCTGCGGGCCACTCTACTAGTTCTAGCCCAGAAACAAATACCCAATCCAGGAACCATAATCCACTCTACTAGTATTTGCCTTCTCTCCCGCGACGCAATTCAACAAATTAAAATTTGAAAAAAAGAAAAGGAAGAAAAAAAAATGCAAGTTTCAAAATTTTGGTTACCGTTGAGTTGAGACCTAACTCCTTTACAAAATCGATCATCCTTTCTGGATTTTCTACAATTAAAAGTTTAATATTGTTTCTTCTGTAATTGCAATTTTCTTCTTTCTGTCCCAATCTGTTCTTTCTCTCTTGCTCTCCGTGTTTCTTGTTCTCTCTGTAAACCAATATGGATTCTTCTTCTTGTATTACTGCAAAGTTTGATACGCGAAGCACGCTTCAAGAAATCATTAAAAGGAAAAGATCGAGTGAAAATGTGAGTTAACAAGAAAAAAAACGTTTAATTATATGGTTCTTTTTCTTTCTGTTTAATTTCAATTGATTTGTGTTGTGATTTTTAATTAATCTTAGGATTTTCTGTTTGCGTTTTGCTTAATCGGTTTTGAGAATTAGGTTTAGGTTTTCGTTTTTTGTGTTATTCTGTATGTGGGTTTCTTCATGCTTATACTGTTTGATAAATTAATGCAAGAAAAGATGGGACAGCAAAAGGGGATTCTTGGTTTTTTTTTTTTTTTATTATTATTATATATACCTTTTAAAAAGATTATGCACATAATCACTCTGGGTTTATAACTGTTGCATAAATTTGTTGTCTTCTTTGAGGATATTCTTGTTATGTTCAACATTAATTAATTATTTGAAAAAGATTATACCTTTCGAATTCTAATTCAATTTTTCTTGTTCTGGACAGTTAGATAGATTTATACCGAATAGGTCAGCTATGGACATGGATTATGCGCGTTACATTCTGACCGAAAGGAGGAAAGCCAAGGAGAATCCACCTTCACAATCGCTATACCAGAAGCTTTTGGCCGAGGCGTTCAATATGAACAGAAGCCGAATATTAGCCTTCAAGAACAAACCACCTACCCTGGTCGACCCAATCCCGTTATTTTCATCATCATCTGCTCATCTCTCTGAACCTGTGAAGCCCCAGCGACACATTCCTCAGGTTTCTGCTTGTTCTCATCTTTTTGATGCTTTAGAATCATGATTTGGATTTTAATAGCATAAGCTGATGAGTATTTTTTTTTAGTTTATAGTTGCAGTTTCTGTTACTTGTGATATTCTGTTTTTGAAAAATTTTGTGTCTTAATTGATTGGAGGTTTGCAATTGATTTTTTAGAGACCAGAGAGGACATTGGATGCCCCTGACATAGTGGATGATTTCTACTTGAATTTGCTAGATTGGAGTAGCGACAATGTGCTTGCAATAGCTCTTGGAAGATCTGTATTTCTTTGGAATGCTTCAAATGGTTCCATCTCAGAACTAGTCACTGTTGACGAGGAAGATGGTCCTGTCACTAGTGTCAGCTGGGCATCTGAAGGATGTTACATCGCGGTAGGCTTGACCAATTCTGACGTCCAGATATGGGACTCTGCTACTGATCGAATGGTTTGTTCCCTCTTCTATTTATTTGGTTTTGATATAATCTGACTCATGGTTTTCTTATTAACGTGTCATTCATGCAGCTAAGAACATTCAAAGGCCATCGATTGCGAGTAGATTCACTGGCCTGGAATAATCACATACTTACAACTGGAGGAATGGATGCTAAGGTCATTAACAATGATGTGAGAATAAGAGAGCACATTGTTGGAATATATAGTGGACACCAACAGGAAGTTTGTGGACTGAAATGGTCAGCTTCGGGTAAGCAATTAGCAAGTGGAGGGAACGATAACCTTCTGTTCATATGGGATAGATCAATGGCCTCCTCAAATTCAACAACACATTGGCTTCACAGGCTTCAAGATCACACAGCAGCTGTGAAAGCGCTTGCTTGGTGTCCCTTCCAGAGCAATCTGCTAGCCTCTGGTGGGGGTGGGACTGATAGGTGTATCAAATTTTGGAACACACACACTGGCGCATGCTTGAAGTCAGTGGATACTGGCTCACAGGTTTGTGCTCTTGAGTGGAACAAGCATGAGCGAGAATTGCTTAGCTCTCATGGATTTGCAAAGAACCAACTCATTCTGTGGAAATATCCGTCCGTTATAAAGATGGCAGAGCTCAGTGGTCACACTTCTCGAGTCCTCTTTATGACTCAGGTATTGAGAGGGAACAAGTACTAAATCATAAATTTCAATTATAAGTTTACCTTGCCCCATTAGAATATGAAATTCTGTTCATATTCATTTTTGATCTTCCATATCTTCAGAGTCCAGATGGGTACACGGTGGCATCTGCAGCAGGTGATGAAACATTACGATTTTGGAGAGTGTTTGGGAACCCAGATGCTAAACCTGCACCTAAAGCTAATGCAGAGCCATATGCTAATATATCCTGCATTCGCTAATTATGCCAAAGCAGTGTTGATTCCTTGTGCATTGGAGCTGGCAGAATTCCTTGCAGAGTCGAAGAAGGTTAACAATGATATCATATATACATACTTTTCCTTTCATTGATGTTCATAAGAGAGAAGTCAAATTAACAGTATACCAAGTGCACAGTAAATTTGATTGTAGAAACGGTTGCTTGCCCATATGCGGTGGTAAATATAACAGGAGTCATGATGGGATGTTGTGTAATAGTGCAATAAAATACCGAATGTATATTATGTTTTGCGTATTAGAACAAAATTATGGGATATTTTGCTTAACTATCATTGTGTATGTAGGTGCCCCTGTGGTGAACCATACATGCCTGCCTAACTTCGGGTTTGCTAGTTGGTTTGTGTTTTGTACTGCTATGTTTTCCTGTGCAGGCACCTGCATTCTACCATGACAGCCTGCTTGGTCGAGCAAATCACACCTTTTGCCTTTGCCTGAGCTTTACTTCTCAGCTGGAGTTCCAACTTGAAGCAGGCAAAGAGTTCAAACTTCAAAGTTGTCCATCAAAGCCAAGCAAAAGTTGAGGGAGACATTTTTCAGAAAAAAGGAAATACTTTTGTTTTTTTTAAAAAAAAAAAACTTGAATTAGTTTTTGGAGTAGGAACGCTTTTTGGAAGAGGGAATTGTTTTGCAATTGTTGAGATTCTTATAGCAGGGAATATTTGTTGAAGACAGAGACAGCCCTGATTAATCTTTAAGAATGTGGCAGTTGAAGTGGAATGTTTATACCAAAAATCAGTTGCTTTAGCTTTTAATCCCAACTCCCAAGCCAAATCATACTTTTAGAAACAAAGCGAACTTCAAAGTGATCCAGCCACAGAGGACCTATAGTTTTTTCCCGCAGATATGTTCCTTGCATAGAAGTAGTTGTTGCAAAGTCTTTCTTGTTGCTTTTGTTAGAGGGGAACGTCTCCTGTTTTCGTGTTTCCTAATTTAAAATGAGTTAAAATCCAAGAGTTCTTTCTACTACTTTATTTATCTTTAACAATGTCTTTCTAGTAATTTTTTAATAATCATGTCCTTTTATTTTTAATTTTTCTTAATTTGGTTCCTCTGATAAAATTTTTCGGTTAGTGCATCAATTTCCAACGAGAATGTACATGATGCTGGCATGTGTCATTTTAAAAAAAATAAAAAAATCCTATAAAATCTAAAAATAAAAATAAAAATCTCAAAATCTCAATCTTTTTCTTTACCTTTATGTATAGTAAAAAATAATTAATTTCATCCTTTAATTTTTTTTTTGCTTTCTCTTAAGTTCAAACCAAAAAAGAAAATTTTTTATATGTAAGAAAGAACAGAAGCAAATTTTTTTTTTGTTTCAAAAATTTATTATGAAAATTCATTTGAAATCCAAATCCAAAAAAAAAAAAGTTATGAAAATTTTTTCATAACATATGAAAAAAACCAAAAAAACAGAGAAAAATAAGGGTATTTTGGATTTTTTTTCTTCAGAATTTGAGAGAAAGCAAAAAAAAATTAATTATTTATTTTTATACATATAGGTAGAGAAAAAAAAAGCATTTTGAAATTTTTTATTTTTTTCAGATTTTTTTGGGATTTTTTTTATTTTTTAAAGAAAAGCCACGTGTCAACATACTATACGTTTATTGTCAACATATGTAGTTTCAAATAATTTTATTTATTTAATGTTTGTATTTTTGAGCATTAAATACTTATTAGATTGGGCCGCTTGCATTAAAGAACACACTTTAAAAAATGTTGTATTTTTCAGTTTTTTGTTTTGTTGCATTTTTATTATATTTGAGTAAAATATATTTAAAAATTATGCAAATTAATTGACAAACTATTAATTATTTATTATTGATTTTTTTTTCATGTTGTCATGATTATTTTATGTGCATTAAATAATTTTTAGGTTATACATCTTAAATTGTTTTAGTTTTGCTTCTCCATTGGTATTCAAGATGTTTTATTTTAGTTTTTTTCCATTCATTTTCATAATCTTTACAAAATATTTTCTTATATTGGCCAAATTAAAAATGATAAATTATTAATCCCTTATTTTTATTTATTTATTGAGATTTTGCATTAAATTGTCATATGTAGTTTCAAATAATTTTTATAATTTGGGAGATGATTCACCACGCACGTGTGCAGGCAAACTCTCTTCCGCATGCGGCGCGCCATGTTTCCCAATTACCACTAATCCATAATTGCATGACTATGATGGCGACGGTCCACTAATCCCCATGCATGAAAAGCATAGTCATTATATGGTTTAATCACGTAACTATGGATCTCTGCTTCTTTTTTTTTTTTTTTTTTTAATCCCTCTCTAATTTCTCTTAAAACAACCACCTGTCTCTATTTTTGAACAATCAATTCAATGCTTTTTGTGTCTCTCTTTGCTTTCCTTTCTCAAGATAAGTACCTCTTTGCTTCATTTAATACTGTCTCTAGTTTTTACATTTTTGCTCTGATTATTTATTCTTGTTTTGTTTGCATGGATTTTGGTTTTGCTGTGGCAATGTGGTGAATTTTTTTGGATTTTTTTTTTGGGGGAGAATTTGTGACCATATTTTGATCAGTGCTTCCAAATTAATGTCATTTGGAGCCAAATTGCAAAATTAGGGTTTGCTTGGGGATCTGTGATCTGATCATCAAGAAGTAAAAAATTGTATCTTGTTACTGTAATGGGATCAAGAAGATTCAATCTTTATACTACATTTCAGAGAAGAGAGGTGGTCATAAGGACCTGAAGATCAATAGGGCTAGTTGTTTTTGATGGGGAATACGTGTGTAGGACCAAATCTAGGCAATAATGGATTCTTAAATAACGTTACTGCTGCTATTTGGCGTTCCCGGCCGCCAGAGGATCGGTTGCCTCCTCCTAAAGGAGAAGGTAATAGCAATAATAATGGTGATTCGAAAGAGGGTCCGGTTGGTGGATCAAAAAATTCTGAGGGTTCTATAAAAGGATCAAATGATAATCCACCAATACCGGTCCAGAACACCCCGCCTCAACCAGTTAAAATGCCCAATGAGGCGCCACCACCTAAAGTCATTGAGCATGAAACATCTATTAAGCCGGAATTGAGAGAAGTGGGAATTGGTCAGCCAGGAGGGGAGCAGAAGGAGAAGAAACCTACTCATGTTAAAAGGGTTTCGAGTATAGCACTTCAAATGGAATCCGTGTTAGGGAGGAAAACTGGGAATTTGAAGGATATTTATAGTTTAGGGAGGAAGCTTGGACAAGGGCAATTTGGGACTACATTTCTTTGTGTTGAGAAGGCGACTGGGAAGGAGTTTGCTTGCAAATCCATTGCGAAGAGGAAGTTGACGACGCAGGAGGATGTGGATGATGTTAGGAGGGAGATTCAGATAATGCATCATTTGGAGGGTCATCCTAATGTAATAAAAATTGTGGATGCTTATGAGGATGCTGTTGCAGTTCATGTCGTTATGGAACTTTGTTCAGGTGGGGAGCTTTTCGACAGAATTGTTCAGAGGGGGCATTATACGGAAAAAAAGGCAGCTGAGCTTGCAAGGTTAATTGTTGATGTTGTGGAAGCATGCCATTCTTTGGGAGTTATGCACCGGGATTTGAAGCCTGAGAATTTTCTGTTCATCAGCCAGGAGGAGGATTCGACACTTAAAACGATAGACTTTGGCCTCTCAGTGTTCTTCAGGCCAGGTACACATCTGAGCTTCACTTTGTTGTTACAATGGTTAGATTTAGGACCCCTTACTTGAAGCATTCAAGAACTAGTGTTATATGAGTCGTTTCTTTTACTCTATTGCTCAAGAGTTCTTGAAAATACTTTTCATCTACCATCCTTTTGATAAGTTCGATTATGAGATGTTTGTTAAATGAATTATGTTTTGTTATGACATTCTGCATTATAGAACTAATAACGCACTTTCGGATTCATATCTTACTTGTAGACTGATTATGGTAGTGGAGCACGTTTGCTATGTGCTTTTGGATTTATAAGTAGCGTCTCTTTCTCAGTTCTGAAGATTTTCGTTTGCTATGTGCTTTTCCCATGTGAGAAACTTGCCCCTTTTTTATGCCTGTCAACTGTGGAAATAATTATCAAAGAGTAGGAAGTGTCACTGCAATGGTCACGGATCTGAATTCCCAACCGCTAACCCACCCCACACCCCCCACCCCCCTCCACATGCCAAATATTTGTGTTGAGCTTTTTTCTTTTTGGCTATCAAGACAAAGGATAGAGATTTTGTTCTAATAATTTGAGTCAGTCATGATCAAAACCTATTCTCTTCATATCTAATATCATGATGCTATGGAGACCTGGTAATGCTTTTCTCAGGCCTGATGTTCCACCCTTTAGAACTTTAAATCCTTAGTCACGTATGTCTTTCCTGACGATCTCTATCTGACTGCTGATCATATGCAGAGGAGAACAGTGTAGGTTCATTTTTGCTTGAGGTTAGATCAGGTTATTGATTCTTCCAGAGAAAATTCTCTAAAGGCCCAACCCTCTTATAGAGGGTGCTTTAATTCAACATTTTCACTATTTAGCATCCTGTTACTGAGACATTCTTACTTACCAAACGCAGAGGATATGCTGCTATGTTCAAAGCATACTTATCTTCTTTCATTTCTCTTAGGTATTAAAATTTTGCGGCTCTTTAGAAGACGTCCAACGAAACTAGACAACATCCAAAAACAACTTATGGATGCATGATAGCAGAAAAAAAAATCACAACCCTTATGCAATTAGTGCATGAGTAAATTGAGTGAAAGAGATTCATAGATCTACATAGAGCTTTTAACAGATAATAAACAGAGCTCTGATCAAGTGTGACTGGACTTCATGAAATAATTTCCATCATTCACCTCTGATTTTGACTGTGAGCAGTACACGCAAGCAAGCTGTGCACAGACACTCACACAAGGCCATTGAAAGTTCAGGATCCTGCTTTTGATTTTGGCTTGGAAGAACAAAATATATGAATATTTACTAGTCTGCAGCTTGAATTTCGATGCCAACATCTGAAAGTCAGGAAATTTTCAATTCTAAAGTGGTAGGTTTGAAGCTGCCAATTGTGGGCTACGTAAGTGCCAGAGGCCAAACGTTGAATTTCTTAAGTTCCTAGTATTAACTGGCTTCTCATTGTAAGCTATTTTAAGTTGTTGCTCAAGATATATTTTGGTTTTACTGCACCCTATGGTTGCAAAAAAATATACTGTTTGCTTGTAACTTTTTAAATTCACATATCAGACTATGATTTTCTTCATTGACTATGCCAGACAATTTCATAGTTTAGTACGTGAACATTTCAACACCAACGTCAATATGCTTACTTTAGTATGCCTCCTACATCTTATCGCTTTTGAAGGGATATATTTTTCCTGCCGTCTGCACACAGTCTCTCCATTGCCCATGCCAGTCAGCATTACGTTGTTTCCTCCTCACTAGTCCTTTCCATTTCTGAAAATTAACTAATTATTTCATCATCTCAGGCGAAACTTTCACAGACGTAGTTGGAAGCCCCTACTATGTAGCTCCAGAAGTGTTGCGGAAGCTATATGGTCCAAAATGTGATGTTTGGAGTGCTGGGGTGATCATCTATATTTTGTTAAGTGGGGTCCCCCCATTCTGGGATGGTGAGTCTCATGATATAGAACTTTGTTTATTTTTTAATTGATCTAATGATTCTAGACATTCTTTGGCTGCACCTAATTTATGTTCTGTTTTGGGATCAGAAACGGAACAAGGAATATTTGAGCAGGTTTTAAAAGGGGAACTAGACTTTGAATCAGAACCTTGGCCTAATATATCTGAAAGTGCAAAAGATCTTGTTCGAAAAATGCTAGTAAGGGACCCTAAAAGACGTCTGACAGCCCATGAAGTTCTTTGTGAGTATGCATACCACTATGATCTAATTTTCTAATATCTCTTTGGCAGATAAAACAGTGAATTGCTTATTATTTAGTTTGCTGTGTCTCTTTTATTAGTTGTTTGTTTAATTATAATCCTATTTTTTTTCTTATCACAATTCACGATAGCTTCTAGAAGGTTAGCTTATAACAGAACTGAGTGGAGGAAAAAGCTCATGCAGCCAACCCTAGCTAATCAGATGTCAAGGCTTAGTTGAATTGAGCTGAGTTGTTGCTTAAGTGGATGAAGTCATGTTGCAAAATCATATATTAAGTTCTTGTTGGAACTGTGAAAGTATACCATAGTAATAAGCTAGATGGATGATGGTTTAGGAGGAGTTGGACGATGTAAAGAACTTGTGTTTTTATTACTAGTTTCTTCTGTCGCCAAGGAATAGCAATCGTTACACTATGCTTTTGTTCTCGTGCAGGCCACCCTTGGGTGCAGGTGGAAGGTGTTGCACCTGATAAACCTCTTGATCCAGCTGTTCTAAGTCGGCTGAAGCAATTCTCAGCCATGAATAAGCTCAAGAAAATTGCCATCCGAGTGAGCACTCTTGATCCCTGAACTTTTTGAAAATTTGAGCGTGTTACACAGCAGGAATGGTATCTGTAGAAACTTAGGTCATGCTTTGGATGCTGTATCATAATAACGAAAGTATTGAGACAAGGAATGCAATGAAGCTGATCCATTCCATTATTTGGTTGCCTGACTTATTTTGTGTGGAGTTGCAATCCTAAAACTTCAATATAGAAACATCATTTAAATTTGATTTGATAATTTAAAGGTGATATGGCTGTTCAATTTTACCTGCACTTTGTTTCTTGCATCTATTAAAGAAATGATGTTTCCTGTCTTTTCAAACAAGAAAAGTACTATATGGTGGCATGAAAATTGTGTTCTTCAACCTTCTGACTATTCCATGTTTAAGAACGTTTTTCTTTGTAATGCAGTCATCTTTACGGTATTTACCAGTGTAATTTTTCCATTATAATTTTTAGTCTAATGTGCTCTGCATTTAAAATACTGCATTACAAGTTGAAGTGTAACCAAATATCATCATTGAAGTCATCATACAATTAAGCTTACATTACAACTCGATCTCTGGTTACATGTATCAAGCATTTCTTATTTGCTGAAGTATTTGCAAATTGCAACAGTGCATTTTTCATTTGAGTTTTTTGTTTCACATAGTGAGCACTATACTTCAAAGATGTCATTAAATGATTGCCATCAGAACGTTAAAATCTGTGATTACATAGTCTACAGAATCACTTTCTCTTATAAGAGACATCTTGGTTGAACTGTTTAAGGTTTTCATTTGAACTGTTTAAGGTTTTCATTTAGTATTTTAAAGACAACTATGCAAATAGTGGACATATCAGATCATTGCTGAAAACCGTTCTTTTACTTACCAGAAAACTTCCTTTTCATTTCAGGTCATTGCTGAAAGCCTCTCTGAAGAGGAAATTGCAGGTCTGAAAGAAATGTTCAAGATGATAGACGCAGACAATAGTGGACATATCACTCTTGAGGAACTGAAGACTGGTTTGGAAAAAGTGGGGGCTAATATCAAGGATTCTGAAATTGCTGGGCTAATGCAAGCTGTAAGTCTGTTTGAATTCAGAATCAGGTTTTTATAGTTACACCGCATAGGATCATGATGATAGTTTTCTTTCTTTCTATTTATGTATTTTTTTTTTCATAAACTTTTTGCATTGAAGTTTTCTGCTGCAGACCATTCAGCGATTTCAGACAACAGAATGAACTCTATTTCTAGGTCATCTTTGGTTAGACATGATTAGATTTAGTTTGAGTTTCTCCGAGCCAAGCTAGATAAGTAGCTTGTCTTCTGTGACCAAGATTCAAATCCTGCGTTCCTTTTTTTCTCGAGGATTACCTACTAAACAACTCTTAGCCAAACTGCTGTCAGATTTAGCTAAACTGGTAGTGCCAGTATGGAGAAAAAACTGGAACAACCCAGATATAGGAGCATGGGACAGGATTTTGTAGGCTATGTTTAAAGAGCCCAGGTCCGTGGGAGTGTTGGAACAAGCCACAAACTCACAGCGACACACATGCACATTTCATGCGAAACTTGTTGCATCTAAAATTTAAATGGAGAGCATGTTGTGGAAATTCATATGTTTTGGTTACAATTATGTTCTCTGAGATTTTATCATGGACGCTAAATTAAGTAATGAAATCACCACTAAGGCACCTGGATCTCCCAGGTGATTGTCTTGAATGTTACCACGTGAGCGTTTCCTCTCATCCACACAGTTTGATTCTGATTAGGCTTCCTACCTGTTAAAAATTTCAGGCTGATGTTGACAACAGTGGTACCATAGACTATGGTGAGTTCGTAGCAGCAATGCTCCATCTGAACAAGATTGAGAAAGAGGATCATCTATATGCAGCGTTCTCATACTTTGACCAAGATGGAAGTGGGTACATTACTCAAGATGAGCTCCAACAGGCCTGCGAGAAGTTTGGTTTAGGAGATGTTCAGTTAGAGGAAATCATACGTGAAGTTGACCAAGATAATGTAAATATCTTCCTTCCAATAATCATTTTCATTTACCGTAAGGTAGAAAATAGTTTATCTCATCGGTATGATTTAATTTTTCACTTTCTTATTCTTTTTAGGATGGGCGCATCGATTACAGTGAATTTGTGGCTATGATGCAAGACACAGGTTTTGGCCAAACCAGATCCCAAATAACTTAGTTGTAAGATTCAGACAAGCCTTTGAGCAGTAGGAGTTAATTTGTATTTTCTAGGTTTCATAAATTAACAGCATGCGCAGCGCAAACTGTTGTAAAGAGGAGGCAGGATTCAGGGAGGTTAAGAGAGTGAGTATCCTATTCATTTTATTCTTTTCCAAGTTGTATTTACCCCCTTTTAGATTTCTGTTAAATGTATGAAGTTGGATTAGATTGCAATTTCCTAAGTTTGAAAACTTTGTTCATGATTAACCCCCTTTTTTCTTTTTTCTTTTTTTCCCTGTTGCGTCATTTTTGTCTGTAGCGCAAACGCTGCTTGATATATCTTATCAGTTCTAAATGGATACGTGACATGGTTTCAATACTGCTCAATTTTAGTTGATTAAGGAGCAAAACACATCTTAAGCATGAATTTATAATAAATTCAATTATGCAAATTTATCTTCTTTAGACAGTATTCTTTCCAATGATGTTATTTGTTCATCTCTATGTTCATTTCTTATTTGCTGAAAACATAGCTCCGTTCATGTTTTTGTAGCGTTGTCCTCCAGCAGCAACCGTGTTTGACACGAGTTCAATCTACAGTTTTACATACAAATTTGGCATTTCCTATTGTACCTTTGCCCAGCACCTTCAGTGTTCGTTGTCCAGCAGGACCAGCACCGTGTCACGGTTGTGTACACCTTTCTTCTGTGTTGTGTACATGTCGATAAAGGGTCCGCCACAATTTCTTAGATGCATCCAAGTAGAAATGGCTGCAATTACATGTGCAGTTGTACTGCTTTGTTTTCGCAAGCTCATGGTACAGAGAGAAAGCAACTGATTAAAATGCATCGATTTAATTTGATGCCACGCATGGTTGGACGGTCTTTGTCCGGCTGTTTTACTTGCAAGGCATTCTATCGAATCACAGAACCATTTAACTTGTTCCCTACGTTGGACCACGGCAAGGACGATCGATAGAGATGTCACCTTCCTTTCCGACTGGTGCAAAACCTTGCAAAACGTCGATGGCATAACGTATTGTAGGGATATCATTTGGTGTCCTGCCCATATGCAGAAACATGCAAATGCAAGGATCAGAAAGGACCTACATATAATTAATGCGAAATATGTAGAAGAGTGAAGCATGTACATTCTCTTACGTTCTTTTTATTGGGAAAAAAAAAAGGAGAAAATTGAAGTGTTCTGCAATCTAAAAGTTAATTTTAACTCCATGAATATGGTTTAACAATACTAATCGACTAATCCTTGTTCGAAAAACTATATATATATAGCACGAATCAGAACCTTTTCCAAGCTTCACTGCTTCTATGTTTTTTCTAATTTATTTATTTCATTTTTTTTTACAGATAAAATAAAGAAAAGAGAAGTAGGAAGCGATGGGAAAATTAGAAAAATAAAATAATTTTTTAACCAAAAAAATGATTCAATCGAGGATGTTAATTATTGGTGAAACAATTAATTAATTATTTTCAATACTTTGAGGACTGTATATTATAAATAACTCGCATTCTGAAAAGGAGTTTTCCAAGTGGACGAACGGATTTTTGGCCTTTTAGGCTTGTTTGTACCTAGCTAGTGCCTAGTATACCTTTATTTTTCAAGTAAAGGCCTAAAAAACCACATGATACTTGACCTACCATACGCCATCTTTTTCAACACATCTATAAACCTTTTTCTTCAACTTTCCAAAAAACCCCACCAACCTTTTTTAACAGACAAACGAAGCGTGTGAGCACGAAAAAAGGTGTCGTGGTTAGTCCCCACAATTGGCACTCACCATCTCACCACGTCAATTGCACCTTCCAATTCGTATAAATGGCCCATTTTGTGCTTAAGTTTTCTACATGAAAATACATAACAGAACAAAACAGGCTGGTGGATATGGATGTGCTAGCCTCTCTCCTTTTTCTTGATCGATCCATCTCATCTTTCGCACATCACAACTTCTGGACAATGGTCACTCATCCATATAATGCATGGATGTACGTATCTTTCGTTTACGAGAAGTCAATACTTTTTTCTTCCTCTTTGAACTGCGCCCCACCACCCAAAAAAAAAAAACCTTTCTTATTATGAAAATTGACAATACATTCAGCTTTTTCGTAAATTATAAATTATTTTCATAATTTTAGATTAAAATAATTGTTTAATATGATATTGAAATATTATGTATAGAAATTCAAATCTTACCATATTCATTCTCAATGGGACAGTCTTAATAGCAGGTTAATAATGGTAATTGCAAGTCACAATGATACTAAAATATCATATAGTTGTCTTAAAATTGTGTTTTGAAAGAATAGGATAACCTTTGACAATGCATGAAACCGTGAACCATTTGTTTAGAAACATATGCTGAATCTCAGATTTTTTTTTATGTGCACAGCAAGAAACTTACAGTTTGAATTATTATTAATTTTATCCAAAATTGTTGCTTCTTTGGATAAACTGAACCACCCCCACAATGAAATTAATTAATTAAAGCTACCGTGTGTCAAAATTAAACTAAAAAGTGGCAGATAAAAAATAACCCACTAATAAAATGTGATTATATTAAATAACCTTTTGATCTTTTCGTAAATGGCTAACATTGTTGATGTCAATAAGGTTTTCTTCCACCTTTTTGAAACTCATTTTCACCTTTTGTTAACAAATGCCAAGTGCCAGCCTAAGAAGCATGAAAAAGATCGCATTAATTAATTAAAGTCTAACACGTGGAAGTATCCAAAAGCCAAACGCATAAAATCATACCGCGTGTCAAGGCGATTGGGTTAGGTGAATGGCAGCCACTTATTAATGCTGAGGTGTCGCTAATCCAGATCCTGCAGTCTACACGTGGCAATGGAATGACGGCTAATTAACCTTTGTTGTTAACGGCGAAAAAAATGCTGTCTACTCCTTTTAGGACTGCACTCGACCTAACTAACAAAGATAGTCTTTCTGCGTCCCACACCCGCTCACGTTCCTGTCACGTGGCTTGCCCTCTGCTGGCCGGCACCGCCCCTCTTTCTGATTGTTAGTGATATAATAAAAGAGTACACAACATATATAATATATGGTTTTAATTAATGTGTTATGTGGGTATTGCATTTTTTTTCTTTCTGTCATTCCAACTTCATCATTAATACTTGGTATTTTCTCGAATCTACCCCAAAAATTCTTTTTCGGACCCTTTTTCCTTCCTTCTATGAATCATGATATTGACAGAACTGTTTTTGAATAAAAGGCTAGAAAGAATAATTAAATAGTTGAAATTGAATCTTATTAACATCTAAAATGAAAGGAATTAACAAAAAAGAAGAAGAAAAGAGAAAGTGATTCCTCAAATTTAATTTTTTAAAAGAACTAATTAAATATATATAAACATTATCATCCTTGGCCCTTTTGATAGACATAGTATCATTGATCATGTGTTCTAAAAAATATCTTTATTTGATCATAATGTTTGTTTCTATGTTTCATTATTTGTACTATAAAAAATAAAAGGCTAGAAAGAATAATTTCTTATGAATGCACTATTCCAAATATATATGATTTTCTTATCATCCAATTAATCAAAAGAAGAACTTTATCTCTATATAGGAAAGTAGTACCAAAGATATTTGTCATCCAATTAATCAAAAGAAAACTTTATCTAAATATAGGAAAGTTGTAACAAATATATTTATCATCCAATTAATCAAAGAAGAACTTTATCTCAATATAGGAAAGTTGAACCAAATATATATATTTTTATTGTTGGAGGAAAAAAGAAAAAAGAAAAAAAGAGCCTTGTATATATATATATATATATATATATATAGTCATAGGGCACCCACTTCCTAAATTCGCATCCAAACGCATAATTAAGGTGCTTTAAGGTACGTAAAAAAGAAATTTGTGTAGTATATTGAATCCACTGGGATCCCTTTCCCTTAATTGGTGTGTCATATCATGATGAGTTGAAATTATAAAGAGATTTGTGCAAACAATGGCGACAAAGAACTTTCTCAAGTTTATATTGTACGTAATATCTCTTTAACCCTAACTCTTCGTGATAAGCTGAGTCAACATGTATAACTACGTAAACGAGAAAATTTTATTGGTTTTTACCAATTTTTTAGGAACTATATTTAAATAAAGCGAAAAATAGATGCATTATATATATATATATCAAGAATCCAATTTAGATCTGAGTGATCTTTGTTAGGTTGCCCTAAACCCTAAACCTCAGGATAAATGATCTTTCAAACTCCATACAATGAAAAGCAGGTTTTTTTGACTTGTTTTGACAAATAAAATATGTTGGAAAATGTTGAATGTAAGACTTTACGAATACAAGATCATATTTGATCGTGGAAGTCGGTTTGGCATTATTTGTGTGCTGATTTTCTTTTTTATATTTTCTCAATTTTGTGTTCGTTTAGACATCCTATATATATATTGTGCACTATCCTGAATTTTTCAAATAAGTGATGCCAAAGCCGGAGTAAGTAGGCACAATAATTGGTAACAGAGCTTTTACATTATTCAGACGGCTGTTTATTTGTCCCTATAATTTGAATTGGAGACGTGATTTTGTTTAGTGAGACGAAAATTGAAAAGGAGGATTTTGAGATCTTGGCTATTTTAAGGTTTTCATGATTTCTGTTTGCTGTTTTTTGTGAGCTTGGTGATTTTGTATTTGTGATAGCATTTGAGTTTTGTAGAGAAACGATAGATATTTTTATGGGTTGGTACAACTTAAATCAAGGTGGACATTATATATATAGAATATAATGTTTAAATTGAACGATGCAGTACACACACATATATATAATGTGGAATTTGTACCTAGTAAGTGTGTTACTGCGATGGACATTGGTGCAATATTGGATCGATGTAACCCCATTGGTAGCTAGCATGCAGGAAAAGAATTAATCAGCTAACCCACTTTCGTATTTCGATCCTCTTTTCGTTTTAGGTTTTGACTAGTCTAAAAAGAACGCAGACACTAGCTTTTTAGAGTGCGGCGGCCAAGTTAGGGTTGCTAGCTATGTAGTTTTCTTTTTATGGAATTAAGTTTTTGCATTGTTATTTCGAAGTGGAACTCTTAGCCGAGAGGCTTATGGACACGAGAGCTTGTGTATTTAATATTTATTTATTTATTATTCTTCTTATGGTTGTTTTAATTGCGATCTATCTATATTGGTCATTTGCTGATCGTGTGATGAGGATAATTAGATTTTAGAATTCGAATAATTAATGTTGTCTTTGTTTATGTTTTTTTTATTAAAAAATCCTCAAAATTTTAAACTATTATTTCAATCTAAAAATTTAAACTATTAAATAATTTCTCATAATATGATTTAATTATATTATTCTCTAATACACTCAAACTCAATTAAAAAATTTAAACTATATGGTGATGTTTTGAAATATGATCATTTAATTATTTTCTAACAAACTCATTCAAAGTGAGATATGAAAATATTATTTATATTACTTTCGAGTATATTAGTCTCAAAATATAATTTATTGCACTCTAATAAATATTCTCAAATGGAAACTTTTTAAACTTGAAATTTAATCATACTCATCATTATTTTAAAAGTTGTAAGATTCGAACTCATGACTATTTTTCATTAAAACTTTAATAACATATCAAAAAATAATTTTAATTCAAAAAGTCATTAGGTAGTGTCTCAAAATATAGTTTATATATATTACTCTATTACCATTCTTCTCTTTTGATTACGACAAAATCTTTACATATATATATATCTTTAGAAGTACAAAATAGGCCCAACCTTGTTAAATCTATATATTAATCAATTTTCTGTTTCATGGTTTTCATTTCTGTTTGGTTACACAAAAAAAAACATATATTGTCCCTAATTGTGATTTTTCCGCATTTTTTATAAGATTAAAATGTTCACAATATGTATCTATGAATATAATTCTAGTTCAACGTCACCGGTCTCAACAGTGATGTCAGAAAATAGTAGTGATGCTAAATAACAAAACAACTTGGGAACTTATCGGACAAATTTTGGAGAAAGAAGAAAACATGCACATGATTTGAAATTTCCAGGAACTTGCCCGGCCAATTCCCTCTCGTATAGGTAATGTGAGGCAGAACCAAGACCTCATGTTTTTGACAGAGGCCATCCGATCGATCCCTTTACAAACAATATTCATGGCCTCTTGTCGCACTTGGCCGGTCCATCAGGCGGCGCATCAAAGGTTAAGCCACATTAAATGGCAAAAGCTTGGTCTGCTAGCTAATTGACCAGAAGCTGTTAAACCTAGTTCACGTATGCAATGGATGTTGAGTCCAGAATCAAAGTTGATCTCAAACTTATAGCACAGGGTAGTACTGTCCGAACACGTGTACGGTTAGGATGATATGACTGACTGAATATGATTGATGTTAGAATCATCATGATTCATGATCATGCACGGGAGGACCCAAATCCAAATATCTAGTTATTTTCACTACTAAATTTATTGTGGACTTATATGCTCGTATTATTTATTAACAAAGTGCAGTTATCATGACCATTTAGCAATCATAATTGAAAAGTCCAGGGGTGTTTTGGTAACTTGGTGGATACCCTCTTAAATGCCCCTTATAAATAGTGGCTGCACTGCACGCACCATTTGGAAGTAGCAGTATAGCAGTTGACGCTTTTTTTACAGTACTTACCTCCAAAAGACAAATCTTCTCTCTAAGTCTCTTCCTTCAATAATCTCAAGGTACGAGTAGGGCAAGTCCTTTTGTACTGCCAATCTATATTTTGTTATCTTGCTATGCAAAAGTCTCTCCATCTCCATCTGCTTTCCGTTTCCACGAATACTGTCACGAATGATGACCTTATATATGTTCCTCCCTCGTTGCTGCTTTAAATGAACTACGGATGCTTCGTTTAATTCATATTTGAGTCTATATTTTTCAAAATCTCTATCTCTCTCTCCATTTCCTATCTACTAATTAACATCTTGAGTCATTTTTTCTTACCTATCTACTAATTATATTAACATCAAATATATTCTCACTTGTTAGTATACCATATTGTAAACAACTTCATTTTTCAAAAGGTAAGAAATTAAACAGAAAACTATTGTTTTTTTATAGCTTTTCTTCACTCGCTCCAAGCCCCGTTAATACTTAATATCGAGCAATGTTCATCATTCCCTTAACTTATTTGTACATGTAACTTCTTTTTCTTTTTTAGCCATTGTTAAATCTCATATTAATATTTTTATTTTCCTTTGATATTGTTGAGAAGATTGTAAGATGGAGAAAGCGACCACATCGTTAGTGAGAACAAAATCAGAACAATTGGTGGAGACAGTGGCGGCAGCGTTTAAATCTCCTACGAACAACGAGGGAACTGGGGCTTCCGACGGCGGCAGCGGCGGGACACTCTCAAGGAAGTCTAGCAAGCGGCTGATGATGGGAGCCTCACCGGGACGTAGCACTTCGGGTGGTAACAAAAATACACACATTAGGAAGTCAAGGAGTGCACAGATGAAGTTTGAATTGGATGAAGTCAGCAGCGGAGCGGCTCTAAGCCGAGCCTCTAGTGCCAGCTTGGGCTTCTCTTTCTCCTTCACTGGCTTCAACATGCCACCTGATGAAATAGCCGACTCCAAGCCTTTTAGTGATGATGATATACGTAAGTTTATCTACACCAACATTTATATTTCGTTTGGATAATTATTTCAAGCTGCTACTTGGCATATGGTTGTAGTTTTTATGATTTTGTATGGTTTGTTGTGGTCCACTTGAATACGGGTGGTCTAGGTAACATCCATTACCAGTCTTTGTCTTGGCTTTAATAACTTGAAGAAAGGTTTCATGAACTTGCTAGAAAGTATATAAACTTTAGAGATGAAGTTACAAGAGAGCTTTTATAATTAATTATTACACCGCCTGCATATTAACTCGGTGATCAGAAGAACATAAATGTGAATTCAGAAATTTTATAACTTGCTTCGTTTCTTGTGTCCATGCATGCTGCTGCTTTCCTTTCAGCTATATCGTGTTATTACATTCATAATCTGCAAATAGGGTCTTTGATTTGTATTATTCATGAGTTCATCTCGTTTGACTCCGTACGTGCTTTTTAATCTTTTCCTTCACTTAAAAAAAAAAAAATTCATGCACAGTTATTATGATAAGTCTCTCACTTTTATCTTGAAAGAAAACAGTTCATGAGTACCTAATAATTTATACGGGAATAATGGTGCATGATTGGTGAGCTAACAGCAAACAACTGGTGACTTTGGGTTGAAAGGGAGCATGATGATCATGCTAACAACCACTTGGAAAAATGTGAAGACAGTGAGAAGTGGGTCCCTTGTCTCTCGCTCTCAAAAGGCAATTAAAGCTTTGGCCTCCTTTTAAACGTTAATTGGATTAGAGATTTGCAACAGAAACCTAATTAACAAATACCCCACTCAGACGGTTCTAGGGACTACTAGTATATATACATCTGTAATGGAAGGGAAAGAATATATAGAAATAAATAAAGGAACCAGCTGGGTTATGTTTGGCTCTTACAAGTGTAGCTCTTCCATCAATAATGTTCTTAGTGGTGGAAGTGATGATGTTGCCTCAGTGCGCACTGCATTATTTGTTTTTCATATCCAAGTTACTGGTTTTAATGGAAGCTGGTTGACATCCAATCTCTTCCTGCTCTTAACCACCATATACGAGTATCCATACATATAGTTTCTCCCCCTTTAAAAAAAAAAAAAATCATTTCACAGTAATTTTTGTTCAGACTAGCTTGATTTCGCGTATATTGAGACTAACTAAATGCATTTTTTTTTGCTTGAAAAAAATAAGTTATTTTTTGTCGAAATTAGAAGATTTTTGAGCAATTAATATACATGTACTTAATTTGTGTGTGTGTATATTTATGGTATTTTTTGTTTTTCTTAATTATTCAAGAATAGATGTGCTTAATTAATTCACATGATCGAAGTTCAAACTCCTAATTAATAAGCAGGAGGAACGTACAGCTAGCATATGGGCCCAAATATTATTGGTCACATAATTAGGGCCCCAATTCTTAGACTTTTGCTGACTTGTTGCCGTAAGTAGCTTTCATTGAGGTTATTAACTCCGTTGGTCTTGGCAAAAATCATGCGCAGTACCTAGCTATATACATCAAATGTGACTTACGAAAATGATTTCAGCACTTTCCCTTTTCTGTTGTGATCCTCCTCTTTTAGCGATAAACCTTTAAATGCTTATATATATAAGTGATATATATTGAGGTTCCAAAGTTCGCTTTAGTGTTTGATTGAATTTAATTGTTGGGATCTTTAATTTAATTTGTGACCATTAATTACAAGTTACAAACACATCGGTCTTCATGAATTATTGTAACCACAAAGTTGTGCAAAGACATGACAGAAATTTCACTCTCTCAATTGTCAAGTTCAGATACGAAATATCTGGTCATTCTGTTGACATATAAGTTTGAACTAATTAATAATTTGAAGAAGACAAATCGGCCAAAATGACAATAATATTGCTTGAAACAATCATCGCATCGCATATCATTATATATTATATACAATCCCATTGCCAAGTTAGAGTTATCAATCAAGAAGCAAAATAACAGCTTTCTCATAACAACATTTTGATTCTTTCATTAGTTTACCTAGTGCTATATCTATGATTGTTGCAGCGGAGGATCTTGAAGCCGGAACTCGTAAGCCGAAATTTCAAACAGAACCCACCTTGCCAATTTACCTCAAGGTAACAGATTTTTACCATGCTGCTGTAGCTGGTTTTCCTATCTCGTTCTTCTTTATTCTCCAAGTAGAGCAAGCATGCATGCACCGGTTGTGTTCAAACTTGCCTTTCCTAATGGTGCCACGGATTGATTTCGATACGTTCTATTTGGACAGGCAAGGATGGAGAATTATGATCATCTAGCAGTCAACGCGATCCATAGATTATGGCTAGCATGGTCAGGTTCAGTCTTGTACAGAGTTTCATTGTATATGAAGTACAAGACTCCCTTCTTTCCAACAAAAAAATAAATGCAGTACAAGTTCTTAACTTGCCATGAAACTACTAAATGGGGACTTAAACAGTTCTATTAACATTTGTAAGAACATGCATTTGAGGATAGAAAGCTATCTTCCCTTATTTTCTTGAGTCTACCTAGACTAGTCCCCGAGTCGAGCTCAAGCATTGAATAAACGCAATGCTTATTTGTCAAGGAAAGAAGGGTATGGACAGTTTTTCTTATATTTTGTTAGAACTTAGACTTTGTAACTTAGCTACTATCTGATAATCATGAAGTGAAGCTGCCATCATTTACTGATCGAATTGACTATGTTCTTGCTTCCGAATCTGCAGTTCACTGAAGTCACATACAAGGTGATTATAAAAGGAATGACCTCGGCCGAGGAAAAGGATATCTTGAATGGAATCAGTGGTTCAGTGGATCCAGGGGAAGTGTTGGCGCTTATGGGACCTTCAGGAAGTGGAAAGACAACACTTCTGAATCTGCTTGGCGGCAGGTTAAATCAGCCCACTGTTGGTGGTTCAATCACTTACAATGACCAACCATACTCCAAGTTTCTAAAAAGTAGGTAAGAAACTTAAAAACCAGTGCAAGACTGGTTAGTTACCAATGGCACTGAATTGTTTTTCATCGCGACGACTGAAAATCAATGAAGATAAATAAGAAGCTGCATTTATCTAAGTTAGAACTTTTGTTACATGTACGACTAGAAATTTGAATCAGTGCAAATGCACATCAAAATGACATAAAAAAAAAACACATATGGCAGGATAGGATTCGTGACACAAGACGACGTTTTGTTTCCTCACCTTACAGTGAGAGAAACGTTGACATATGCAGCCCTCCTTCGACTGCCAAAGACAATGACAAAAGAACAGAAGCAAAAACGAGCCATAGATGTCATCTATGAGCTAGGCTTAGAGAGGTAATGAATTCTCCTTTCCCTACCATCATCAATCATGGGCAGAAGAAACAAATTCCGCAGCTTCTGAGTAATCTTGCTCAATTCTTCAAGCTAATTTTGATGTGCCTAGGTGCCAAGACACTATGATTGGTGGCTCATTTGTTCGTGGAGTGTCAGGTGGGGAGAGGAAAAGAGTTTGCGTTGGCAATGAGATTATAATCAACCCTTCAATCTTGTTTCTTGATGAACCAACCTCGGGCTTGGATTCTACAACTGCTTTGAGGATAGTGCAGCTGTTACAAGATATAGCAGAGGTATTCTATCTGTGATACTTCTTATTCAGGTTTCTGGCCCCCCTTCTAGAAACTTTGTAGGAGTGTTGCCGCTTTCTGCTACTAAATTGTTTCAATCTAATGGCAGGGTGGGAAAACAGTGGTAACAACAATCCACCAGCCATCGAGTAGACTCTTCCACAAATTTGACAAGTTGATTCTTCTTGGGAAAGGGAGTTTGCTCTATTTTGGAAAAGCATCAGAAGCAATGCTGTATTTCTCATCTATAGGTTGCAACCCTCTTATTGCCATGAACCCTGCGGAGTTCCTGCTAGACCTTGCAAATGGCAATATAAATGATGTTTCGGTCCCATCCGAATTGGAGGATAAAGTGCAAACAGAGAACTCAGATGCTGAAACAAGATGCGGGAAGCCATCTCCTGCGGTTGTACATGAGGTAATGAAGTCTTACCCAGGCAAACTTTTGCATCTGTAGCATCAAAAGCTGCCATTCAACAAAATAATGTTTCTGTCAAAAACAGTATCTCGTGGAGGCCTATGAGACACGAGTTGCAGACCAAGAGAAGAAGAAACTTATGGTTCCCATACCCCTTGATGAAGAAGTGAAGTCAGCAGTATCTTCCCCAAAGCGACAATGGGGGGCAAGCTGGTGGCAACAATATACGATATTGTTCTGCAGAGGAATCAAAGAAAGGCGGCATGACTATTTTAGCTGGTTGAGAATCACCCAAGTTCTCTCTACTGCAATCATCTTGGGATTACTATGGTGGAAGTCAGATAGTAATAGCCCCAAAGGTCTGGAAGATCAGGTAAATAATAGTCAGGTCAAGATCAAGATCAACCATTGCGACTTCTCATTGCCATTTCAGGCTTAAAGTTTACTGAAGCACTTCTCTGAAAAATCCAAAACCATTGAATACCAACTGAATTACCAAAATTTAGTCTGGCTGGCAATCACAAAAAAGCACATCCTTTGTTTCCTTAAGCTCCTTTACACAAAATATCAATTCACCAACTTACAGAAACTTAAACCTTCTTGCATTACAGGCAGGACTGCTATTCTTCATTGCTGTATTCTGGGGATTTTTTCCTGTGTTCACTGCAATCTTCACATTTCCCCAAGAAAGAGCCATGTTGAGTAAAGAACGAGCAGCTGATATGTACAGACTAAGTGCATATTTCTTGGCAAGGACTACAAGCGACCTTCCACTTGATCTAATACTACCAGTACTTTTCCTTCTCGTTGTCTACTTCATGGCAGGCTTGAGAATGAGTGCTGCTCCCTTTTCCTAACCATGCTCACTGTTTTTCTCAGCATTGTTGCTGCTCAGGTAAGCCTAGTCTGGGTTACTAACTCTAAGGATGGTACCAAAAGCAAAAATTTAAGCATTTAACTAGCACGTCTGCATGGCAGGGACTCGGACTAGCTATTGGGGCTACCCTGATGGACTTAAAGAGGGCCACAACTCTGGCTTCAGTTACTGTGATGACCTTTATGCTGGCTGGAGGGTATTTTGTGAAGGTAAGTTCATCAAAGATCATTACATACATTACTCTATATTGCTCCTCTGCAATGAAATACTTGAGTAAATTTTTCCAAAATAATTGAATTTTAGATTCGCACCACATGACACATTTTGCTGTCTAACATTGCTTGACCAATAGAAAAAGACTGCTTGATAAACTCTAAAATCAATATTGAAGTTTGCCAGAATGCAATCAAGAGTGGAGTTCATTACTTCAATAAATCATATCTTCTGTCATAGATTAGTATTGATTGAACAATTTCTTACCTTAACGCAACACATGGTCTTCAATTATGCAGAAAGTTCCAGTATTTGTATCTTGGATCCGCTACATGTCTTTCAACTATCACACCTATAAGCTTCTCCTCAAGGTTCAGTATGAACATATGACCCCAGCTATAAATAGTACGAGAATAGACAGTGGTTTGACAGAAATTAGTGCCCTGGTGGGAATGGTTTTTGGCTACCGTCTCTTGGCTTATATTTCCTTGCGGAGAATGAAGCTTGGTGCGTAGTAACTAGTAAGCAACAATATTCAGAGCAATCAAGGACAATTAGCTTCCAAGTTTGACTTCAAAGATCGATTCCTGAAAACTTGCATTCCACGGATCAGAGAAATGTTTACCTATCGAGAGAGATCAAATTTTTAGATCCAATATGATTTTTGGATGGAAACATTTATGCACTATCTTAGGCATGTAAGATGATTTTTCTGCGTCGGGAATTCCTAGTAATGTTATCACGTCATAAGAAGCTCGCACTCACAAGCTCATATCTTTTACATTAAAATGTAGTGATGTAACTATGACTCATGCATATCTATTGAAATCAGTAAATTCTAAAAATTAGGGAAGGAAAAACGTGGTAAGGCATATGATTTGATAGAACTTTATTATTGTATTTCTTGAAAAGAAAATTGCCAAGAGTAACCCCTAAAGACATAGAACCACCAGTGATTGTTGATCAGACACCAAATTGAGAGGGAAAAAAGAAAAGAGAGAATTTCGAAGATCCCTCTACAGCTCTGTACACTTTTGATCCAGCCTAAGGAATGAGAATTACCAGCAGTGATTCAACTGACAGTTTGTGAAAACCCAATATATTAGGATAACTGGTTCACTAGCTTGGCAATTGCACTTCGCTTCTACCTCTTGCAGGTCATTGCCACTAAGCAATTGACCTGTGTTATTCAGCCAAAAATGTCATGGCGCAGGTTCTGTTTTTCTGTTCCCTCTTCTCATGCTAAGGTCCTTAACCAACCAAGAAGCCGGAGGAGAGCAGCATCAAGTACAGGGGACTTTTTCTCAATGCCTGTAATAAGAATTTTTTTTTTGGGGGGGGGGGGGGGGGAGGGAGATGAAAAAAACATAGTCATTTAAAGGGAGTAAGAAGCTCATCAAAGTTGATATACCAATGACTTTTCCTGTCCTTTCACCTAAAGGTAGGATAATATGTGAATAGATATCGATCAGGAAAAGGAAAAACACCTTAAATGTTTAACAGGGCTGCTGTTCATTATATCCTCAATGGAGAAAATACATATCTATAATTTCCACTATGACTTGATCATGCTTCGCAAATAGTCAGCAGAATACCGAATCCAATATCAAACACATTTGTAACGAGACAAGTTTCCTAGCTTACCAATATCAGCAGCTACTCGATGAGCACACATTACTCCCGAAAAAGCTACGGCTATAACACCCTGTCCTGGAAAGCAGCTATCGCCAACACAGTAAAGGCCATCTACAGCCTGCAAGTTTCATCATGTCATGACCCAATCCCCATTTGGCAGGATTGAAAGGAGGGGGCTATTAACATTCCATCAACTGTTGATGGAACTTCACTTTGTAGGGAGAAGACCAGAGAGGTCAAGAAAGAAAGTGAAGCGTGGTGAAGGGTGGAGGCTAATAGCCAAAAGAGTATTTCCTGCTTAAATGACTTCAAAAACTACAATTACTGTGTCATTCATGAGAGGTAATGATTGAACTTACTGTCGTATTAAATGGCATTCCCAATAAACCTTTAGGGGTGCTGCGTGGCATTGGTCCATAAGTACCCTTATCACGAGCCAGGTACCGCCTGTGTGTCTTGGGCGAACCCACCTGCCATGATTGCATGCACTTTTTAAGGCCAAATCAGATTTGAAGGACAAGAGTCAAAGATGAGCATAGTATTCCATTCACTGGCTTGGAATGTGAGAAATTTGAATGAGCTCCCACCAAACAAAGCATGAAGTTATTATAGTAAAAAATGGATAGGGGAAGGATTTTTCAAATGAAAAGAAATTTGTGAATTTTAAAGCCCCTCCGAGTATCCAACCCCTTGAGGTTGGTTAATGAATTTGTTTGTATCACTCAGGTTTTCTGTCCATAAGGTGAGATCATTTCTTTCTCATCTCCTATCACCTGACACAATTTCTTTTCTTTACATTCTTCAATGAATATGAACTTGTATGACAATGTGATATATACCTCCATGAAAGTAATTGATGACCTGAGCCCGGGAAAAAGTTTCTTCTCCAATCTGCTTATAATATCATCAGCCACAACTTTCTTCTTTGCCTCATATTCCTTTGTCGAGAGTCCCTAAACAGTTAAATCCAGCAATTAAGAATTTAGAGGACAGGGAGAAAGAGGGGGTAGAAAATAAAACATTAAGTATGACCATTCACTTTAGACTTCATTATTGAACTTACCTCCCAGTCTTCAATGGAAGATGTTGTAAATATGTGCAGTATATGATGGCCTTCAGGAGCCAATGATGAATCAAGAACAGTTGGAATGCTTAGAAATATGCTTCCATAAGGTTCCTCTAATCTTGCCCAGTCATCCTAAGACATAAATGAAAGAATTAAAGTTAAATGTATCAAGTTCACAATTCCAGATAAATGGTGAGCAAATGAATACCTCAAGCACAAAGTGGTGGCAATCTGTATCTGGTGGTAGAACCTCAGCTTTAACACCCATGTGAATGGAAAGAAAAGATGGAGCCTTAATATAAACTTTTTGGAAATTTTCTTCTTCTTTTGGAATGGTTTCTCCTTTTAACAACTTCCCTGCAACACATTTAATTTCTTCATAATAACTGAAAAGGCCAGTGCAAGAGAAAGCAGCAACAGGTTATGATCAAATCAAATAAATTAGAATGTTAGAAGCCAAAACTAACCAAAGGTATCCCATCTAGTAGCATTTGATATTATGGTTTTGGCAAAGAACTCCCTTCCATCTGAAAGCCTTACTCCTACCTACCAAATTCAAGTGAAACTAACGTAAACAACAATATCATCTTTTTCTTTTTTCTTTCTTTAACCAAGGATTCAATTCTAGCTTCATTTATCCATTAGGTCCAACTCACGGCCTTTCCATGCTCAAGAATGATATTGGTCACGTTTGCCCTGTAAAGTATTTCACTGCCCTGATCAACCAGACCTTTTGACAAAGACTTTGCAATTCCACCAACTCCACCAACAGGGTAGTTGATCCCTCCAAAATGCCTATCACAAAGAACCTGGAGCCAATAAAAGAAAAGGGATAAGAATATACATATACAAGAGGTCAAAAGTTAATTAACTGCTCACCATGCCAGCATTGATCATTGGGGTACGCAAAGCGTTAACAGTGCTCACTATGAAACACTGCAGAGAAACAACAGATAAAACTTCTTTATGAGATTGTAGGACCCTTTGTTGATACCCAAAGACCATTAAATCTAAAGAATTTTATCAAAGAAATGAATCTGTAGTATTTAACCTCCGCGTCAATGAAAGACAACAATTCAGGATCCTTTATGTACTTTCGAGCAATGTCTCCAGCGTTTTGGGGCAGATAATAAGCTGCAGAGAATATAAACATCACATTAGAAAAGTTTAAAAGGAACCAATAATTTTGGTTTAAATTAGTGACAAAAAAAAAAAAAAAAAAAACAAAGATTCAGCAAAGTAAGACTTAGTCTTATTGCTCTAGTTAGCAGCAAAGAGGTGATACAAGCATGTATTGCAAAATGGACTTAAGGACCAAAGTATTGTGACTTTCAATATTGACAGTCCAAAGCTCCGTCCTCAGAGCTAACCCAGAAGGTCATAATAAGCATTTGTAACAGGTTTGTTTTTTTGTTTTGGGTGCAAATTAGAACATTTTCTTAACCATCCAAACCGATATGATATCAAGGAATGCTCCAAAAAATTTGGCGAGCATATTGTCTTTTAAGTAGTCAATCTGAAAGTAATGTAAGCAGTGCTGCAATCGTCTAGTAATTGAGATTTTTTCCAAAATCCTATGCGAAGGAGACAGTATTTTATTCAAAGCTATTGCAGCAATAGCTTTGAACATCAATAGAAATTTTGTTAATTACAAATTTGATGGAAATTAGAAGGTGTAGTTCCATCTTGTTCGCATCCAACAATAATTTTACCACTATATTAATGCCTAAGTACATTATCTGCAACAGTTTTCCTTAATCAAATGATGGCACAAAAGATATCCTGACTGGAGCAAGTAAACAGCTGTAACAGTATCCAAGCCCTGTATGCATCTTGCTATTGATTCTGATTTTATAAAAATCTATCGGAGATGTAACAAGCTCCCATTCAAATCAATTAGTAAATTTGAGAGGAAAGGATAGAAAAAATACCCAGTGTCAAGCATTCAAGAGGCTTCTGAAAGAACTGTCCAAACAGGTAGATTGGCTCCTCTAGTGACCTCAGTTCCAAAGAGTTCAAGGCATTGAATATCTACCCAACAAAAATGCTGGGGTAAGTAATGGTCAACTAGTAGACTCAAAATGCTGATAGGAAGTTGCATTCACCTCAATCTACGTACCTTCCAGCATTCACCATAGAATTTAATGATCCCTTCCTTTTCATGGGGAAACTTAGCAGTAAGTTCTGAGATGAAGTCGCTGTACTCTCTGGGAACTAGAACAGAAAGGTTATTGGGTAGATGAAAATGGACAGTAGTTGGGTCAGGAATCACCTCCATTTCACAACCAACCGCTGCCAATGCTTGTGTTATCAAATTTAGGTTGCCCTGCCCAAATTTGAGGCGCATATCAACCAAGAAGACTTTTGTGATTCACCAAAGCACATACTAAATAAAAGTCAAGTAGAGATAGCATAAGTAGCATAATAAGGGAAAATAAGTAATAAAATACCTACAGTGAGGAGTACTAAAAGCATCGAGGTTCGATCCTTACTAGTCTGATAAACTTAGGCAAAAACCTAAGAACTTGGCGAAATCCATTTAAACCTATTCTACTATTTTTATCTAATAAGAACACCTTAATGTTAACTACATGACATGAAAATTTGCTCATTAGTGCTTGATTGGAATTCTCTTTATACCGGACCCTATTTCATTATGTTATTTATTTTCTCGTTTCTCCAAAGAACCATCCAAGTGCTACAAAACACAATTAGAATCTCCAAATTCATACCAAACTGCATTAAACTCAATCAATAAAAACAATTTTCATCAAAAACATAAAAAAATAATAATAATAATAAAAGAACAAACATAACAAATAACTAAAGAGAAATATAAAACAACAATACCAACTGACCTTATCACTGAAACCGAACATAACAGAAGAGCCAACATCAAAAGTATATCCATCCCTCTCGTAATACCCAGAACTCCCACCAGGAATCACATACTTCTCCAAGACCAAAACTTTAGCTCCCTTCACTGCCAACTGTGTAGCTGCAACCAACCCACCAATACCAGACCCAATAACAATTGCATCATAATCACTCCTCTCTCCGCTCAATCCTCCATTTCCTTCAATAGCCACCTCTTTATCCACAGTCAACACTGCCTTTGACCTCAAAATAAAGTCCTTATTCAACTTTACTTTACCAAGATTGTCGATTTTACTTTTTATGTTTCTGGGTACAATATAACCATTTAAAACCGAGGTTTGGACAGATGCAATAGACGGAATCCTATGTTTTTGGCTTTTGGGTCCGAAACTCCCTAACTGAACTGTATTGGACTGACCAAAAAACAAAGAATTCTCGACTCCTAAACTCATGTTGCTAAATAGCTATTAACTAAAACTAAAAATCAAAGTTATTTGGGTGTCCAAAGACTGAAAAAGATGAAATCCTTGTCTTGGTTTGATTTATGGGTCTTGAAGAAAAAATAGCTGTGAGGCAGTCTTATTTATTTGGTGCAGAGTAGATAGGGAGTGAAAGAAACCCTTTTTGGGGATCTTTGTGAGGAGAAAAAAGAAGGGGTGGGGTTAGCAGCTGAAGAATTTAGAAATTGAATTGATGTTGCTGAATTTGGAAATGGAAGTGCATAGTGTAGGCAAGGATTCCTGTCCATGATTCTTTTCTCCTTGGAGACCAGACAAGGACAATTCAATTTCAAATGGTTGTGTTATTTTAACGGTTGGAGGATGCGTGATGCGTGATGCGTGATGCTTGGATTCCATTGGCCGCTGTGTTTTTGTCGAGTAGTAGTTGTGCTATTAGAAAAGAGTAGAAAAGGATTAGAGCATGCGATGGTGGTAGGGTGAAATTGATCATTTGCTGATGGCGCTGCACAGAGCAATTTTTGTAAGAAACTTCGTGATATCGAAATTAATCTATGTTTCCTTCTGTTGATGAACAGCCAAATCAATTATTTACCAACTCCACCGATCCATTTTAGTTTATGTGTGAATTTATTTTATTTATTTATTTATTATTATTATTTTTTTTATCTTAGTTTGCTGGTGTATAAATCTTGAAAGTTTAACATGGTGAAAAAAAACCACTATTTTCTTAAAATAAGATAGAATAAAATTTTAATCTATTTTTCATAATAAAATATTTTATGTTAAATAAACTTCATCACTTGTACATATCATTAAAATATATTTTTTAAAATTTTTTATTTAGAAAACTAATAATAAACTAGGAGAGAGAAGACATTGGATTTTATAATCTCTCTTCCATAATTTTGCTCTTTCTATATTTGTATTCTCTTTCTTGAACTAAATTTTTGTTACAGCTTCCTTCAAAAAAAATATATTTTACATCATTAGAAATATTATCCAAACTTAGTGTCAATAACACACTATAAATCTATAATGTTTGTATAATTGTAAAAAAAAAAAAAAAGTTTTACAATTATTTTGTTGCCATCAAATTGGTTTTTTATTTTTCTAATAGTGATTTTTAAAAATTATTTAAAAAAAATATGAAAATATAAGTAGATTATAGACAAGATTGATATAGCAAATTCAATAATTTTTTTTTCTTTTAACAGATTCTTCTGCACATCCATCGAATAGCTATATCTCACAAAAATATTAATGTATTAATCTTATGTACAATTATATTGATAAAAATGGTATAAAAATAATAAATAACACCTTTTGTAAGTAAAAGCTATTCTTAAGTTATTTTAAATATCACGAGATACAAATCAGTTAGGCAATACTGGGAAAAAAATAAATTAATAATGGCTTGTTTAACCATAGTAAACTTTCAATGGCTGCAGGATATAGCAAATCATGTGATCCTTACTCTTTCTCTCTCTCTCTTTATATATATATATATATATATATATATATATCTGGAGAAGTTGTTGCCTACAAGTTTTAAAATCATGAATGTGAAATAAAGAAGAGTTTGAATTTCATAGGAAAAAAAATCCATTTTATCTCGTGGTTATTGTTTTTAAAAACTATAGAGATATATTTATGATAAAGAAGAAATTTATTTTCCTATTTTTGGTAAATATATATTTAGATGGAAACATAGAAGAAGGAAGAATACAAACATTAAGTGCATATTTCTTTCCTTGTCTAGTATTTTTTTTATTTTCTCTTTTACTTAGGTGGCATGAATTATCCTATTATAGTAAATAAAATTAAAACTATCATATTGTGGGAATAAAGATTTAAAAGTACTCTATTTTTTTTAAAAAAAAAAAAACTTGTAGATAAATGGATTTGTTTTTCAAAATAAGAAGAAATAAAGAAAGAAACAAGCCAACGTCACAACTTAAGACCAGTAGGTTGGTGATAAGGAAAATACGGAAACAATATTATTATCAGAATGGAAAAATTATATTGGTGATAATTAAGAGCAAACAAGAATGGAAATAAAGGAAATAGTAAGATTTATTATGAGACACAAAAGCAATAAGAAAATCCATGGTTGACAAAAGGTTAAATTGTAGACAAACTCCTCACCTTAAGTGAACTTCTGAACAAAAAAAAATCTTTGATTTTGTTTTCTTAACAATATTATTTCTTGAATTTGTCCCTTTTGATGTGTTTTGCATGGAAAAATAACGAGAGGAATTAGACTACATTGCATTGAATTGTAAGATAAGTACAAATTAAAATTTTGAAAAAAAAGCTTAAGAGAATATTAAAAAAATAATAATAATTTTTTACTCAATTTTAAAAAAAAATTACTTTTTTTTATTAAAACTTTCTCAAGCATTTCCAATTTTTTATTAAAAAAATTTACTCTTTTTTTTAGTATTTGAATTTTAATTTCTGAGAAACTTATAATTTTTTATTTCTTATATATTTTCATTTACAATTTTCTTACTTTTTTTAATTTTTTAAACATTTGATCAAGAGAATTTTTTTTAAAAAAAAAATCTAATTATTTTTATTTTCTTTATTCTTTAAAATCTTCAAAAGTTTAAGTTTTCGTCAAAAAAATTATTTATTTTAATTTTTTTAATGAGAACTGTAGCATTAGTGCTTATTGTAGTGATAATGTTCGCAGGAGTACAACGTTTTTAGGAGCTTTTTCGTTAGTTTCTTACGAAAAAACGTATGAGAAGTGACCCATTTAAAAAATAATCTTGGTCAAGGAATAAAACCAGAATTTTTTATATATATATATATTTTTTTTTGGTTCCGGAAGGATTTGCATTATCATGCTAGTTAAGAGGGGTCTTTTATAATTTGGGCTTGAAAAAAGGCTTCTGTTATGTAATGGATTTGTGGATCGTCCCTGCCCAGTCTGGGCTGCTGAGTTCGTCAAGCTGGACTAGGCCTTTGTTCTACGAAGTAGCTCCTTAAGCCTCGTTTGGAGCAGCAGTGAGTTTGGGTTTTTCTCGAATACTAAATCCACAATTGTAAATGGTCGTGGGCCCACGAAGAAAAGAAAAGTTGCCCACTAGGCTTCTGCGAGCCTAAATGCAAAAAAAAAAAAAAAAAAAAAAGTAATATGAGGCCTGGAAGAAGAATCCAGGGCAATCGGGAAGTGCCCGTGACTTGTGAGAAAATCTAATTAGGTAACTTTTAATTTCGTCACGCAAAAACAGGTGGGCCACACATTATTCACAACGATAAAAGATGACATTATATAAAAAACTCTCTAACGGGTAATGGTTTTTCCGTTCCTATCGTATTTATACACTCACAAATAACTATTAATTGAGTGATATTTTTATAATTTAAGTAAATGATATTTTTTTGTTAATTTGAGTTTTTTTTTAGCAATTTAATTACCCTCCCAAATGCTCTGTCTGTTTTCATTTGGTTCTTTCTTTTTTGATACAATCTAAAATTTAAATTAAAAAAAAAAAACAAAACAAACATTATAATTCAAGTAATGAAAATTTCAATGCCAAGCTAAAAAAAAAAAAAATACTATAATTACACCAAATATGAATAATTTTTTTCTTTACTTTTTTCCTAACTATCTATTTGCAGATATAATTTGTAAGCCTACATAAATTCTGAACTTACATAGCATCAACAAGCTTAGTAGAACTGCCACGCTTCCTTCTTAGCGGGTGTAACAACTAAGCAAGTAATGCATGCAAAGGTGTTAAAAAATGTTGGTGAGAGACATGATATCAACAGAAGGAAACATGTCAATTCATAATGCAAATCCTTCAAGAGTGAATTAACTACCTTTAATTGAACTAGAAACCTTCCCTCCATGTTTCTCGGTCTTCCTTTTCTAGTATTGCTACACATATCCAAAAAAGTTAAAATCTAAATAGCCATGGAGCATAAGAGACCGCAATTAGTAATTAAAATAATGAACATATATGTGTTCGAGAAAGACAACACTGATAAAGAAAATTTAAAAAAAAAAGTTGCTAAATTTTATTGAGTAAATAAATAAGAGGGGCTTTTTTCTTGAAAATGAAAGGAAATGAATTCTTGAAACATAGAAACTTATGCCTAGAAATCTAAATTTGTTGGATTTGTTGATAAGTTGTTTCAATAATGGGGATTGTGGGTTTAGGTGGGTCCGTGGTGTGAAGTATGACGATAAGAACTATAGCAGGTGAGTTCGGAGAAAGGATGAAATGATTGAGTAATGGGTTTTTGGGCTGTGAGGTGGTTGTCCGGGGGCTTGGGGTTGACGAAGATAGTTATTTGTGGATGGTGAACGACAATGGAGATAACGGGTATGGTGACAATGGTGGCTATAAGAGCTTTTTCTAGGGTTTTTTTTTGTTAGGGCCAACTGGAGAGGGAAAAGAAGAGAATGGGAAAAAAAAAAGATTTTTATATGTAAAGTTTAGGGTTAGGTGGTTAAATTTCTTTCGGCCCTTATATTGCATAATTTTTTTGTTATGATTCGAGTATTCTTCTATTTCTTCAATTTCATCCCTAATTGAGTTTATTTTTGCTCCTTTCTTTTATTTTATTTTTTTCAAATTTGTCTGCAATTAAAGGCTATTGGGTTTTAATTCTTTCAATTATGCTCCCTAAGTAAACCTTTTTGGTCCCTATTTTTTCAATCATCTTAATTGACACTCGTATGCCTCATTTTTTTCTTCCTTTTTCTTTCTTTTCTCCTATCTTCTTTTCTTTTCTTTTCTTTTATTCTCTCTCTCTCTCTCTCTCTCTCTTATGCTTAGAAATAACTCATAAAAATTTTAAAAATTCATAAAACAAATAAAAAATTTTTAATTTTGAAAAAAATAAAATTGATTAAATAAAAATATTTAAAATGGATTTTTTTAGTTGGAAAAATCATGAAAGATTGATAATTAAAAATGGATGCTAACAACATTGGTTGAGTAAATAGGGTGGACATAGAGGATTTTCTAGGG